GAATTAATGAGTTTCTGAATATACTCATTAATTCATTCCTATTTGTTTTAGTTAAACGTAATTTGTTTTTTTTTCTCTTTTTTTTTGGGGGGGGGTGGAAATCTGCAAGAATTCGAAGCCTCTAGAAAGATTGAAGAATGGCAAGTGGAAACAACAAGAAGACAATCAGGATCTGGCTGATCATACAGAAAACAAAGGAGGAGGATTGCAAAAAACATCCAATCATACTTCTAGGTAGCCCAAGTCTTAGGATAGAGGGGAGAGGGATGAAGTGATCTGGGAAGAAAATCAACCTATCCCAGTGGTAAAGAATATGGGAGATATGCAAAGAAAAATATCAGAATAATGTATCATCACAAGTGAGAAGGAAAAGAAAACATGTCTTAAGAGTAAGGGAGTGCTGAATGGACCAGCATTGATAAATCATTCACCTATGATAATAAATTTCAAGGGTGGATGGCTGACAATGAGGAAGAAAATGGGCTACTCTGGGAGAAAAATATGTCCTTCTTACAAAGGACAAGACAAAAACTATATGTGAAGATGAAAGCAAACATTGTGAAGAAGGATAAACATCCAAAGCTGACATAAAAAGGGACCTTCAAGATTGAAGAGATAGAGGCCCTGAGATTGTCAAGAAGCAAAGAAGGAGAAATCACAAGTGATCTGGCCAAAGAAGGGCAATAAAAAAGAACCTGGCACAAGGTGCTGTCTTTAGAATTGAAGAATGTACCCTGGGAAGAAGTTGAAGAGGAGAATAGGCATAAAGAGAGAGAGTTGACCAATCCATACTCAGAGGAAATACTATCATGGCCATGGAGTCTGTGACTGGTGACCAAAAAACTGGAATCTTGGTTTATAGAGAGTCACAAATAAGAGGACTCCCAAAGAAACACCAAGAGATATAAAGACCACTCTGTCAGAAGGAATCAGTCTGGGAAATACAGCCAATCTGCTAACAAATTCAAATCTCACAAAACATGCAAGGCCAACAACTGGATTTTTTGTTGTCAGTCCAAAAGTGGAGCTTGATATCAAGAATGCACAAGTCCTGAGAGTGGCTACCTCCCTGTCAGTTGATGTAATAAACAACAGTGAAGTTGTTGAAATGGATAAAAACAGGATATTCACAAAGCTGTAACAAAAAATAGTGGCAGGTCCATTAAACTGCAGAAGATCAAACACCAAAAGTGGTCAAGGTATTTAAAAATTTACACTTCCCAGTTAGAG